TTCTGGGGCATCACAAAGGAGTTTTGAACCGTCTGTTAGGAGGAGGAGAGGAGTGATTTTGGGTGTGGGGATTCAGCCAAGAGAGAGAAGGGATGATGGGGTTAGGCCTAGGGCTAAGTTGGGGAATTTTGGCTTAGTGGAGAGGGGGGCGAGCAGCTAGGAAGGAAGGAGGGGAATTAAGTGGAGGAGAAGATAAACCGCGAGTTCGCACGAATCTTCAGGATAATGAGTAATATTTTACCCTCACCTAGGGACATCCAATCATGAGCTCAGACGCTTTCTATGGCTGATGGGTAGTACGTTTTCCTCATCTAGGGACTTCAGCTCTCATAAGAACTCTTAAAGCTCTTAAGAACAAGAGTACATATATTTTTTAAAATAATCATCTATGTGAGAGCTCGTTCCTTTGATTTGCCTTCCACGATTTGAGTTTTTCTCCCAGGATCGTCCGGGACGATATTGAGATCGTCCGGGACGATATTGAGATTGTCCGGGACGATCAGTGCATTGAAATAGCTGATTTTTTTGGAATGGGATCGTCCAGGCCGATTTTGGATCGTCCTGGGACGATCAGATGAGACAAAAATCCCGAGAGCAAAACCAAAATTATCGGCCTAAGGAATCGTCCTGGACGATTGGATTTTGTTCACATCGGCCAGGACGATGTGGCGATCGGCCGGGCATTTCAGGCTTATATTATAAGGAAATCAGCTCGTTTTGAGGAGAGAGAAAATCATTTTATTAAAAACAAAAATATCTGAGGAGAGAGAAAGATAAGGAAAGCAAAGGAAAAGCTCATTTTCGGAGGCCGCGGAGCGCTTTTCGTCCGACGCCGCTGTTGGGAAAAGTGTTTATCTCGTGGTAAGGACTCCGAATCCTATTTCTGTTTTCGAAGATGTTGAGTTTTGGTCGTTTTGTGCTCAGATTTGTGTTTTCGTTACCGAAAAATGCGCCTGTATGGTTTCCTGACTAGACGAGACCTATTGATTTGATGATATATATGACGGATGTGGTGATTTGATATGTACGACGTGGAGTGTTGATCTGAGTTATCGACGGATTTGGATGAGTTTCTGTTTACTGCATGATTCATTGACTATTGTATGTTATTATGATTCGGTCAGATGGATACGACACGTTAATGGAATATGGAATTGTATGATTCATGGATACAGATACCGAGAATTATTGATTTTATGCTCGAATAATTAATGGATTCGTTGATTCGACTAGGACTATGATTGTACTACTGATACGGATAACCGATACTATTAGAATCTCAGCTGATACATTGATCATCATAATAACGATCAATTATGATTGATTGATTGATTGGGTTGATTGTTTGATTGATTTATTTGATTGATTGTTGTATATATTTATATTGCAATGATTGATTTCATTGTATTTTGATTGCCGATCGTTACATTAGACTTTGATATTTCAACTGCTTTACGATGTATTGATTTGATCGATTATGCGCATTCATAAGCCTGATTGATATTATGACCGGAAGTAATTTGCTTGTACTGAATTGAAATTGATGCTGGTCAGTCACGTAGGTCGCTGTATTGGTTCATCGTATCGTTCGGTAAGCTATGTGTCATTGGATTATTACTGCTTTGTTGGATATGCGATACATACCCGGGGGGGGGGGGTACTGCGAACTGCTTCTTGTACTTGACAGCTGAGCAAGTAATATTTGAATAATTGATTAATTTGCTAAAGCTATATGTTTTGATACGATTTCAG